ATGTTGCCCAGGCTGGCCTTGAACTCCTCAAGTGATCTTTAAATGTGATCCTCCTGCCTTGGCCTCCCCAAATGCTGGGATTACAGGTGTTAGCCACTGCCCCTGACCCCATTATGACTATTTTTTAAAAAACTGAAGCCCAGAGAGGTTAAGTCTCTTACTCCAGCTCACAAAACCAGGAACGGGTACGACCAGGGGTCAATCCACCCAAATGTACCCCACTTGGGTATAAGCCTGCTCTAGCATCTGAACTCTTAACCCCCAAGTGACCCACTTTCCAAGGACTCCTGTCTGCCCTGGTAAGTCTTGCTGTGCACCAGACCTGGGGCTCACCCTCCTGCCCTTCACCATCTCATGTAATCCTCCCTTCCCCCATGGAGTGGGAGTCAGCCTGAGGCCCCAGGCCCTGGGGCTGTCATGGTACAGGGACTGCTGGCCAGGCTGGGGTGGAAGTGCATACCTCACTCAGCAGGCCAGCCAGGCTCTGTGGCTCCAGTGAATCTAGAACGGAGTTCTCCAGATTCTCGGGCTTCATGGGGGTAAAGTAGCAATCCAGGTCCTGGGCATCAAGAATGGTCTTGAGGGGCTCCTGGCCGGCCCGCTCTGCCCAGCGGCCGTGGGGCTGGTAGCTGCGCTTGGCGTGGAAGGCTGAGCCATCTGGCACATCATCATCCCCTAGCTTGAAGGATATGGGACAGTGAGGAAGCTGGCTGAGTGCTCACCCACTGCACGGAGCGCCATGGACATTTCAAACAGCCCTTCTGGTCTCCTGACTTTCAACACCATTCAGAAATAACTTCCAGATATGTATATCCAGCTGGAACCTTTCTCTCTGTTTTTTGGGTTTTTTTGGGATGAAGTCTTGCTCTGTCTCCTGGGCTGGAGTGCAGTGGTGCGACCTTGGCTCACTGCAACCTCTGCCTCCTGGGTTCAAGCAATTCTCCTGCCTCAGCTTCCTGAGTAAGTAGGATTACAGGTGCCCACCACCACGCCTGGTTAATTTTTGCATTTTTAGTAGTGATGGGGTTTTGCCAGGTTGACCAGGCTGGTCTCAAATAACTGACCTCAAGTGATCCGCCCAGCTCAGCCTCCCAAAGTGTTGGGATTACAGCCGTGAGCCAAAGCACCCAGCTTTTTTTTTTTTTTTTTTTTTTTTTTTTTTTGGTAGAGGTGGACTCTCGCTATGTTGCCCAGGCTGGTCTCAAACCCCTGGGCTCAGGCAGTCCTCCTGCTTCGGCCTCCCAAAGTGCTGAGATTGCCTGGCCCTGAACCTTTCTCTGAAACTTCCGAATTGCACATGTGACTGCTCTACATCTCCGTATGGATGTCTGGTGGGTATTTCTTTTTTCTTTTTTGGAGACGGAGTTTCGCTCTTGTTACCCAGGCTGGAGTGCAATGGCGCGATCTTGGCTCACCGCAACCTCCGCCTCCTGGGTTCAGGCAATTCTCCTGCCTCAGCCTCCTGAGTAGCTGGGACTACAGGCACGCGCCACCATGCCCAG